CTAGAACTGCAAGAGTTTAAGGACCTGTTTAACAAAGAGTTAGCAAGTAGTTTGCTACCTTATTAAGGTAGTATAGATTACTATATTTAGTTAATAACTCTCCTAGATAGAACCTAGCCTAACCCCCTATAGGGTCCCCTATACCCTATATTACGTAACTAATTACTAGAACTAAGAATATAACTTACTAGATTAATAGATAAGGGCTAGATCTAAGCAAGCTCTTCTATAGCTAGAGCTCTAGTGTTACTAGTAAAGAAGCTATTAGGCAGTTAGCGCCTTTATATAGATTACTAGATGCTTAATAGTATAATAATATTAGACTAATACCTACTACTACTTATTAAGGAAACTTTGCGTACACTATCTAGCGCAAGTTAGTTTATAAAAGTAGATATTTACGCTACCTTTTATAAAGTTAGAATAGTAGAAGGTTATAAGTCCTAAATAGCTTTCTACACCTAGTTTAGGTTATATAAATAGTTAGTATATCTATTTAGTCTTAGTAGTGCGCTATCTACTTTCTAATAATATATTAATACTACGCTTATAGAGTTACTTAGATTATTTGTAATAGCCTACCTTAATAATATCCTAATTTATTTAGGAGGAGACTAGTTTAACTATATAGAAAAAGTAAAGCGTGTACTTATGCTATTAAAAGAAGTAGGACTACACCTAGACTTAGAGAAATGTACTTTTAGTATTAAGGAGGTACGCTACCTAGGCTATATTATTAAGGCAGGCAAATTAATTAGACCTAACCCTAAAAAGCTTAGGGTAGTATAGGAATTAGAATCCCCTAGGAATATAAGAGAGGTAAGGAGTTTTCTAGGTTTTACTAACTTCTACTATAATTTTATTGCCAAGTTTTCTAAAGTAGTAGCGCCTTTAAACTAACTAACTAGGAAGGATACCCTATTCTAATAGGGAGAGGAATAATAGAGTATATTTAATGCACTAAAAAAGGTATTTATATCTAGACTAGTACTAACGTAATAGGACCTAGCTAAAGAAACGTTATTAGAAGCGGACTATTTAGGATACGCTCTTAGGGGTTGCTTATTATAAAAAGTTAGGGGCGTCTAGCGCCTAGTTACTTACTACTCTATAGCACTAACACTAGAGAGACAAAACTACACTATATATAATAAGGAATTGCTAGCTATTATTAAGTATCTTAAAAGCTAGTTAGTAGAGTTATAGAGCGTTTATAAACTATTTATAATATTTATAGACTATAAAAACCTAGAGTACTTTACTAGCCTTTAAAGCTTAAGTAAGTAATAGTGCTACTAGGTAGAGGAACTTTTAAAATATTAGTATATCCTATAGTATAGACCTAGCTATCTTATAGGATAACCTAATACCTTAAGTAGGTAACTATAAGACTTAAACTCCTCTAAAGTAATACTATAGTTAGTAATACGCCCTAAATTAATTTAGGTTACAGTGTTAGAAGTAGAGGAGGCGTCTAAGTTACTAAAGGGTGCTAGCCTTTTTACTAACCTGCATATATAGATACTATAGGATAAAGTAGTATTAGAAGATAAGATATACTAAGTGCGTCTTAATATAGTTTAGAAAGGCGCTAGGTCTTTCCTAGTTCTAGCTAACACAAAGTAATAGATTAGGGACTGTGCCATTAGCGTATATAGTACTTTGCTTTAGAGGGGCGTTATTTAGTTACTAATATAGGAACCCCTTATAACTACTATTATATAGTAAGCACATAAATTAGGTTTAGTAGGATATCTAGGAAAGAATATAATATTTTAAATACTACGCTGTAACTATTATTAGGATAGAATATTAGGAGACGTTACATAGTATATTTAGAACTACTATTATTATAGTACTTATATCTCCTAGAAGCGCTAATAAGGTCTATTATAACTAATACTAGTTATATTATAATACTAGTCCTAAATATCTATAGATTTTATAGTTAACCTACCTATAAAAGATAATAGAAAACCTTAGTACCTATTAGTTATTACTAACAGATTGTCTAAATATATTTAGCTTAAAGTAATAGTCTCTATAGTAGCTAATTATTGTGCAAGGATCTTCTAGGATAACTAGTAGTAGTTCTAGGGCTTCTTATCTTCTATTATTACTAACTAAGGCTCTAACTAGTTAGGATCTTTCTAGATAATATTATGCTAGATAATAAAGATAAACTAGTTACTATCTACTATATACTACCCTTAGATAGACAGCAGGATAGAGCGGGCAAACTAAGAAGTATAGGTAGTGCTGCGTATAATAGTATGCTTTAAGCAGACTAACTAGCCTAACTACCTACTAGCCTGCTAACTTATACTTAATAATAGGGACTCTAGTATAACTAGTATTAGCCTAAATCTACTTTTAAATAGGTATACTATAGACACGCTATAAAAGTTAATATTACTACTAGTAAAGCCTAAGAATCCTTATAGAGAGGCTATAGCGTTCTTGTCGCACCTATAGAGGGGTGTAGAGCTAGCGCAAGCTACTATCACGTTCTAATAGCAATAATAATAGGAAGTAATAAACTAGTCCTAACGCCTAGCTAAAAAGTTCCTAAAAGGTAATATAGTTTAGTTTATAATATATAATATAAAGATAAACTAACTAAGTAAAAAGTTTAACTAGCTATAGGTAAAGTATAAAGTAATAGAAGTTCCTACTCTACTTATAGTAGTATTAGACTTACTAGGGAGCTTGTATAAGACTGTGCATGTGGATCTACTAGAGAGAGCTACTAATAACCCGCTGCTAAGCTAGAAGCTTTAGGACTTATAACTAGGCCTAATAGTTACTCTAGAAAATAAAGATATAATACTAGATAAATAGGAAGTAGAAGAGATCCTTTATACAAAGAATACAAGGGGAAAAGGGAAGTAGTAAGTCCTAGTAAAATAAAAGGGGTATATTAATCTAATATAGCACCTACTAGAGGTAGTGTAGGATACTAAGGCTCTAGATAGGTTTAAGGAATAGTATAGGGATACTACGTATAATAATAGCCTAATATATATAAAAACTAGGAAGTAAGGGTAAAAGGAAACTAGAATAATAACTTAGACCTTTATTATAATTAAGAAGTAGAAAAGTATTAGAGAAATCTTTTAATTATCCTTATAACACTCTAATTAAGTACTCTACTACTAAAGTTTTATAATATAGCTAATAATTAGGTAGTAGTATCTATACTATTAGTATCTATAACTAACCCCTCTCTAGCCCCCCCTAAACTATTATTTATGTTATTCTAACGCCTCTATATCTCTTAGTAATAGTAGTAACGCTTACGCGTGGTGTAGGTAGGGGACGACTTAGTTAATAAGTATAAGCAGTAGTAGTAGTAGCGTTAGGAGGAGGGTAGTGCTTTAATAGCTTGCTAACGCGTAGTACCCTAGGCCTAAAGAAAATAAACGTTAGAATAGATATAAAGGGAATAAGGGAAAACTAATACTAATAATAAGAGTCTTAATACCTTAGGTAGTACGCTTAGTAGCGCTCTTAAACTTATTAATATAAAGATTAGTTTAGGCCTAGGTCTTGTTTATACGCTAGTTAATATACTAGAAAGTAATACTAGTAGCAGTAGTAAGCTATATAACGTTATTGTTACTATAACTACTATATAAAGGCGTAATAGTAGACTAAAGTAGAAATACTAGAGTACTAGTAGTAGATAGAATAATAGCACTAAGCTAATACTAATTATAGGCGCGTAAGTAGGTAGTAGGGGTAAGTAGAGTAATAGCGTTATTAGTTTAAGCCCTTAATATAAGATCCTTAAAATAATAGTAAAGCTAGTAGAACTATAGTATAAACTAGTAATAGGTACCTTTAGTAGGTTTCCCTATAAAGGTGCTAAGGGTCCCCTTCTTTATAATATAAAGGCAATCCTCCTAGTAACTATAATAAAACTAAAGCTAGTTATAGAGGGCTTAGCAAATATTAGGATTATTAATAAGGATAGCTTCTAACTAAGTATAAGTCTTATAGCCGCGATAGTAGGACTTATATAAGCGCCCTAGATATAGTTAGAACTTACTATAAAGAAAATAAAAATTAAGGGGAACTTACTACTACCTTCTTAATAGTTACACTTACTAAAGAGATAAAGCTAGTTAATATACTAATTATAGGGAAGTAGCTTTATAAAGCTACTATTATATTCCTTATTATCTAAGTTACTAGAAATAATAAAGCTACTAAGTAACTAGGTTTAGGGAGATGTGTGCTAAACAAAAAGTTAGTGCAGGAAATATAGGGAGAACATTAGAAGTACGCACCTTGTCTTAGTAGGCCTAGCGTGGGGTCTAACCGCCTTATAGTGGATCCCTACTACTAGCACTAGCAGTAGTAGATAAGGATATAATAGGGGCTAGATAGGCAGGATTAATAGAAAAAGAGTAGAGAGGGGGCTAATTAGTAGGGAAAATCTGTTATATAACAAAGTAAGTTTAGGAAATTTATAGTAGGGTAGGATAGCTATATTAGAACTTTTATAGTAGGGTACTAAAATAAGTGTATAGACGCTACGTGCGTGTATTACTTAGGATATCCAACCACAAGTCGCCTATTATAAATTAGGAAGGAATATAAAGATATAATAATAAAACTAAAAAATATAGTAATAAAGCCTAATATAGATTATAGAGGACAAAGATATAACCCTAGACCCCTAGAAAGATAATTTCACGATAGTTTATAGGGGAAGGTTAGGGGTATGTAAAGGACTTAGGCTTATGCCTAAGCCTAGGTCTAACACAAGATAGACCAAGTCTAACACTACTACTAAGCGAACACACTAGACACCTATAAAAAGGCGTGGAGGGCTTATCTCTCTATTAAGATACTGAATACTATTATTAACCCTCATTGCATTCTCCCTTGAGGCCAGTCTATAACATGAGGTCAGTTTACACCTATATAGTAAACCCCTAGCGTACCATTCTACAGTAAACAATTTTTTACCGCAGTGCCCATGGATGGGGCTTTTAAACAGAAGTATCGAGATTTAGCCACGTGATCATTAACTGCCCGATTCCTATCGTGTGCGCCGTGGTCTTATGAGGCAAACCTGGATTGAACTATTGGGGGGGGGGGGGGGGGGTGGGGGGGGTTTTTTTGGGTTTTGTATGAAGGGTAAAACAGGGGAAGGGGCAGGGATAAAGCCCAACAAAAACCAAATTCCCTGTGCCCCTTTTCCCCAAGCCTTTATTCAAAAAAAACCCGGAGCATAACACCGGGAGAGGGGGAGGTTGGGCCAAAGAAAGGTTTTTGGTTAGTTTTGGGCTTTTTTTGGTCCGGGGTTTGGGCCGGATTTTCCCGCCGCGAAAATCCAAATGGCCCCACTATTTGAGAAAATATTAAAGGGTTTCCTTACAGGCCGGCCCCCCGGCTTTTTGGGTGGCCCTGGCCCTTTTAT